TAAAAAACCAGTATCATATAAGGTTTTAATACAAACTTATAATAAGACTATTAAGTGTAAAAGACTAAAAAACTAAGAAGATAAAAGCCTACTTGGAAATCCTGAGCAAAGAGATAATACAAACTTTTGATGCTACTGTTAAACTAATGAAAATTTATAAAATATTTTCATAGAAATTGTCAGATAAACTGGATGATAAAAAGTGTAAAAAAGCATATGACCAATCAGGCTATCAGAATTGCTAAAGGAAAAGAATATATAAGTATATTATATCAAACTATTTGAATTAAAAGTTTGAAGAATTTGTCAGTTCTAAGCTGTAGTTAGTAGAAGATAATAGAGAAAATATTAGTAAAATAAATACCAAAGTTTGAATGAACTTTACAAGAGTAAAAGCAATTTAATGAATAAATCTAACTGTAAGTATTGATCTTAGCTACAGCATTAATCAGGTTAGCAGTAAAAGAAAATACAACTTGCTTTGGTAAATTTATTTTGAGAATAAAAATAGTTTAAGAATTATAGTCTTAAGGTTAAAATGAAAAGATCTGAGTTAAGTGATTTAGTAAAGTTAATATTAGAGTCAAATCAAAAAGTTTAAATAGAACATCTAAGCAAGGGTGTTAGATATAACAACTGAAATAAAACCTCTAAATGAACTCTTTAAATAGGTAATATAGAAAAGTTATATATATAGCCAGTTGTATACTTGTCTATATAGTTTAATATAAACATATATTTATATAAACATGTACTTAATATAAGTATTAATAAAAAGTTAAAAGACCAAAAAATTTAAACCTTAGAGTCGATAGCATAACAGTTATGCTCTGAGGTCACAAATCACAAGGTTGCCAGTTCAAATTCTAGTGACAGCAATTGTAGAGATGCATTTCTAAAATAGGAAACTGCAACACTATGACACCAGAGACCCAGGATGTCATCAAATGGATTTATTTCTAGAAAAGGCAAGTAACCAGTGATTAAGAAGCCACCTGATAATGAATATAAGTTAGAACCTAATTTGGAATAACCGAAGTCATGAGATGTAATGTGAGGCTAAAAGTCTGACAATGAGAGATACTACATAAACTCATGATGATAGCCAGTTCTTGATAAAGCTTAGTGAAGACTTTCAATACTGGCAGAGATTGGTGTAATAGTTGCTTCTGGAAAGTTTAAAAGTACAAACTAGAGGAGGTTGAGGTTCAGATCCAGGAGTATATTGAGAACATTAGTTTGAAAAATGTGAGAACTGCTGAAAAATCTTGACAAGACTAGTCAAAAAATAAAAAAATAAAAAAAAGATTTATTTTAATACTAAAAAAAATCACAATAAAGACAGTAACTGTAAATAACCAACAGCCTTAGCAAAAGCAAAAAAACAATAAAAAATAAAAAAAATAAAATTAATAATAATTTTAAAATTTAGTTATTAAATAAAAAGTAAAAAATAAAAAATAAAAAAAATAAGTATAATTATTTATTTTTTTTGTATTAAGATAACTTTTTTGATCTTTTGGCTTTTATTAATAACTTTTTTTTTTTTGGTATTAAGGTGAGGCCTTGCTTATATCTTTATTAATAATTTAAAATAGTTATATATATATATATGCTATAGCCGAGACCAACACTTGCAGTCAGAGTTAATCATTAAACTGCTAACTATATAGCTACTACCATTTGTATAAAACAAATAAATTGAAAATTACATGCAAGAATAAAAGCTCAGACTAGTTTATTTGTGACCTAAACCTACTAGAGTGGTCAAAGCTTACCTAAATTTGAATGTTTAATATATAATTTGATGATATGCTATATTTGATCCATAAGATGGACCAAATGTTAATTTTGCGAATTGTTTGGCCAATAGAAGGGCATGTATTTGAATGAGAATGTAATTGATCAGAAAGTCCACAAAGATATGAATAAGTGTAATCTTTTTGAAAGCGAGTGTGTTTTTGGATAAACTTGAAAGTTAGTTAATTGGTTAAGATCAGGGTTTGTTTTGTTGATTTTTTCATTGGAGAAGTAGGTACAGTATGTTTTCCATAATTGCTCATATGATTGTTCATTAATATTAAGAAGAATATCAATAATAACTTAAGAGGCCATTTTATATAAGATGTCAGAGTTTTGAACTATTGATATAAGAGACTTTGGGATAAGTCCTTTAAAAGTAAGATTGAGATAGTAAGTATTAGGTAATGTATATAGAGAATTAAGAGTTAGGTAATGAAGAATTTTGTTAATTAAGTTATATTTATGGTTGGTGCCAAGGTTAGGCAAGTTATTAGAAATAATTTGGTTAGTAGAAGTTTGGATAATTTGATCGAATAAGAATGGATTAGCACAAGTGTGCTAGTGGAAATAGGAATTAAGTAAGTTACAAAAGAAGCAAATAGTGTCTGGATATTGGCTTGGATAAATAGTATGATATAATGAATATGTTGACAACCTATTAAGAAGGATTTTTATTTTAAAAGATTTTAGTTGATTAAGTCTAAAGTTGGTAATATTGTATAAAGGTTTTTGATTGTGATTGAAATAAAGCCAAATGGATCTCCAATCAATGCCTTGGTTGAAGTATAACCACTCACTGTTTCATTTTTGAGATGCCTATATAGCTAAGATGTAGGCTTTACAGATTTGTTTATGAAGTGCCTTGTAGAAAGTTCAATGTAATGGTGTTCCTATTGGAGAATATGGTAAGGATTGTAAAGATTTGTGTAGTTAAATAAAAGAAGTGGTGACAGTGGGTGTTGTTTAGCAAGAAAGTCTGCTTGCTCATTAAGATAGTTATCTGAATGGGCTTGTACTTTGTGAAAGATGATTTGTAATTTGTATGATTTAATAATGTTTAGAAGAGTGTACCAAATTGGCCATGAATTGAATTTGAGTAACTTGTTAGGATGAATTGACTTAAGTTGAAGATTATTAAATTTAGAGATTACTGATTGAGAGTTTGTAAAGATATTAATAATACAGTTTCGAGAAGCAGTTGAAATTGCAGTAATAATTGAAAAGAGTTCTGCTTTGTAAGATGAAAGCCAGAATTTAATTTTAGCAAAAAAGGAATTAATAATTTGGTTGTTATTGTTGACTTGGATTCAACCAATATCCATTGTATATTGATCAGTACTAATGTCAATTACAGATTTATCAGTATAGAAAGATAGTTGCTGATAAGAGAGGTTGTGATGTGAGAAAGATATAAGTTTGTTGATAGATTTGCTTAAAATAAAGATTTCAGAGATGATAGAGTTGATGATAGAGATATTAGGTGGAGGAGAAATGTGAATTGAATGTTTGATAGCTGTAGAGCAGATAAGGTCCAAGTAGTTGGCATTGAGGTTAAGTTGGTGCTTTAAGTTAGTTCTGCCAAGAAATTGTATAGAAATAATTGCAGAAACTTCAACAATACAGATTTGGTTAATTCTATGAGAATTAAGATGGCATCCTGTATATTGTTTGTAGCTGACAGAGGGTAAAAGGTAAAATCTTGTATAGTTTAAGTCTATATTAGAAGTTCAATGAATAATAAAGTAGTAATTAGAAGATAGAAAATATTTTCGTATTTTTCTAATAATAATTTCATTATTGTAGTATGAAAGTAGCCAGAGTTTGGATTTAGTAAGTTTTTTAAATGTATTAATAGTATGATAAGCATAAGGGTTGTGGCCTAGTGATTGGTAATGTAGTAGAATATTCTAATAATAAGAGTGTGCTAAGATTGTATTTTCTAAGTAAGAGAACCAAAAAGGTTTTCTGCATTTAGATAAGTATAATAATCTTAGTGAGAGATGTTTTCAGTCAAGTAAGATGCTGTTATCTGCAGGGTTATACTTCAGAATCCCGACATATAAAATCCTGATATTTAAAATCCCGACAACAGAATTCCAAAGTACAAAATCTTAACAAATTAAAATCCCAAAGTATAAAATCTTAACAAATTAAAATCCTGACAGTATCAAAATCCTGACATTTATAATCCCGACATTCAAAATCCTGACACCATCAGAATCCCGACACCATTAGAATCCTGACACAATCAGAATTCCGACACAATCAGAATCCTGACACAATCAGAATTCCAACACCATCAGAATCCCAACATCATCAGAATCCTGACACCATCAGAATCCTGACAACATCAGAATCTCGATACCATCAGAATTCTGACACCATCAGAATCTTGACACCATCAGAATTTCGACACCATCAGAATCTTGACACCATCAGAATCTCGATACTATCAGAATCCCGATACTATTAGAATCCTGACATCATCAGAATCCTGACAACATTAGAATCCCGACACCATCAGAATCCTGACAACATCAGAATCCTGACAACATCAGAATCTGAATACCATCAGAATCCCAATACTATCAGAATCCCAACAACATCAGAATTCTGACAACATCAGAATCCTAACACCATCAGAATCCCGATACTATCAGAATCCTGACACCATCAGAATCCTGATGCCATCAAAATCCCGATGCCATCAGAATCCCGACACCATCAGAATTCCAACTAGAGATAGGCTAAATTGATTATTTAATATTAATGGATACTATCTAAATTTTTGGTAAATAAGTAATCATAATTTAGAATTTTAAGCTCTCGATATTTGTATAGGTTATAATAACTATAATGTAATTTATTTAATGAAATTTTTTAAATAGAAATTATCATTCTTAATATAGGGCTGTTTATTGTTGTTACATATTATCATTGCATAGTTGTTATTAAAAATACACCAATTAATATATCGATATTAATCTTGAAAACCCATTGAATATTACACAACACGAGGCTTATTAGGTCATGCATTCAATTTTGTTATTGAATGCTTGATTAATATTATATAATTTGGTTGAATTTGTATTAATTTGAAAATAAATAGAAACATATTAAAAAATATTTGATTTTTAAATATTTGTTATCGATTCTCATAAGTAATTGCTATTAATACTAATCTAATAGATAAGTAATCACCCATCACTAATCCCAACACAATCAGAATCCCGAATCCTAACACTATCAAAATTATTAAGTGACTTAATAATTATATATTCAATACTATATCTCATGATTTTACCTTGAATTCATCTCCCCATATGTTTATAAGTTCAGATGCCTCTGCTAAATCATAAATACTCTAAACACTATCAGATATGACACATTTCATAAATAAATCAAAAATCCAAGATTCAAAGTGCATAAGATACCATTAGCTTCTGAGATGTAAGATCCAGATGCTCTAATATTATGAATCTTCAAGCCAATACTGCCAACCATTTTCGAAATCATGTCATATGTCTTCAATGTCTCGTGGATGCATTCAATTGAATTATCTTTTACTGTCAAAAGGAAACAACTTGAAAGTTGAGATTATGGAGTTGGTATTCCAGGGTTCCAGCATTAATAAAGGTAGGTGGTGCATATGTAAAATATTTTCAAACATTAGGTTGTAGGTTTCGACTGCTACATCGATGTCTTCATCATAAATACCAATGACCATGCATAAGTATGTGTTGTGGCCTTTTAGCTACTTTTCCATTAGTTCGCAAAAGATAGGATCTTTCAAGTATTTTGATCCCAAAATAGATATAATTATAATCTTTATCGTAAATGATAACAGAATTAAGTTTTTCCAAATTCTTCATGATGATATTATAGGTTTCTTCTAAGATCATTGAAGCATGTTTTCTAGTTTTTGGATTTATATTATTATAAGATCATCAATAAAACTTATATCTGTAAAATTAGTAAAGAACAAATATATTTTCTTAAACATATATGTTTTCCTGAGCTCTTTAATTTACTATACTAAAATCAAATAGGAATCTAAAAATCTATAATTAATTACCTGTATTATAACCAACATCCATTATGAAAAAATTCATTCAGCTATATCGACATAAAGGTTTAAATTTTTAAACATTTTTATTTCTTATAACTTCTTTATTACATATTAAAAGTTCTTTACACTATGTTATGAAATATTATATATACGTAGCTCAGTGAAGCGCTTTATCTATTCTTAAAAAAGAGATTTGATTTGTTAGTTTTTTATTATTAAATATATTTGACCATTTAGTAATGACACATAGTTTTATAGTTATAATACACATAGAAATTTACCTTCTAGGCAAAATACCTCTAAGTTGTAGATCTATTTGGGATTCTTTTGTATAGTAATTGTTGATGCTTCACTGAAAATAGAGATGGTCTTATTACTTATAAAATATAAGTTACTTTCTTAAAAAGTACTCTAAACTATATAAATACAATTGTAAGTAATTGACCAATCAGAAACCTAAACTACCATATTAATTTGCCGGTCATTCAAAGTATTATTCTTGATCTATGAATTAAATATGAAACAAATATTTAGTTTGCTGTATCAAAAAGGGCAGGCCGGCAAATTACTATAGTAGTTTAAGCCCTGGACTGTACCCCATATAAGGGGATTCGCTAAAGCAGGGTAAATTCAATATAAGAATCTATATACTAGAGTTAATACTTGGATCCAGATTGAATCATTAAATCTGGATTTATTTGTTAAATCCAGATTTAATCGTTAAATCCAGATTTATTTGTTAAATCCAGATTTAATTATTAGATTCGGATCCAAGTATTAACTCTAACTTGTACTGCTAACACTAATTACTTTTTTTTTTGGTATTAAGGTGAGGCCTTGCTCATATCTTTATTAGTAGTTTTAAAGTTAGTAACTACATAGAGTTACTATGTATACAAAGTTATT